TTGCCCTGAAATAGGGCTCGCCGCCCTTATTAGGTGATTTCCTCCCCCCCGTTCCCTTCATCAAGATTTTGTGGTATGAGTTCTGAAGATGGGGAGGTTATTTAGCACTTCCAAGCGCCCCCTACTGCCTCAACAGCTTATGGTGGTGGTAGTTGAGGCATAACCTATGCCTCCACAATCCATATCTGAAAATGCCCTTGACATCTGGAGGGATGCCTTTGACTCCTTAAATGGATGGTCATGAGGCACGCATCCTCCCAGGCTCTGACTTATACTTCTTGTCCTTACGGGTCATTGGTTTCAACAGACGTTCTTTGGCCCGTGCCCACAAATGATGTCCACGCAAAGGGTTCATTTCAATTTAGCAACCCACGCCAAAATGCGAGTTTGATGTTCATCCCCGTTCCTGGAAGCTCAAAAGGAACCAACATAAAGCATCCATTCCGTCGCAGCCCAAAGCGAGTCGACTCGGCAGACTTGGAACTGGTTTCCCTAGTCTACTTTAAGCCACTTGTTTAGTGGGCTCGCCAAAAGTCGAACGAAAAGAGGGTGCCTGTGTCGTTTTTTTTCCAGGACCGTGTGAAGTGTTCTTCGATTCTTCATGGGTGGAAGCAAACAGCCCCAACATGCTGCATGTGATGTGGTGTCATGTCGCAAAAAGGGGGGAAACTTCCCTTTTCACGAAAGGTAGCTGTTGAGTTTCTGCGTAGCAGGGCTTTTTGTGGGGCTCTGGCCTTACCGCCTTCCCACTCTCTCCGGTCTCTGAGTCTCGCCTTACTCGTCTTCCCCCATCTTTTACCTCTTTTACCATCTCCCCATTTGGCTGTGGGTTAAAACCAATGGTACCATTTTGGGCTAGGTGCACCTCCATTTTAGTCTATTTTAGACTGGGATGTTCACTGGGGGTACGGGATTTTGACCCATGGCCATTTGATTCGCTCCTTCGTTGGGCCGCGCCGCCCGGCCAAAGCACGTGCTCTCCAATTGGGAAGGGGCCGAGGGGCGCCACTTTTGGAGGTGTTCCCCTGTGTGCCTGTGCAACGCCGCCTGTGGGGTTTGTCGAGTGTCCTTTTTTAGGTTTTGCTTTTTTGGGGGTCTACGTGCTCTTAGGTGGTTTCCCAATGCTGGCAAATGTTCATGACTTGAACGTTTTTGTGTGTGTGTGTGTTGTCGTTGGATGAACCTGCCAGAATTCAAGTTTCAACCCCAATCCCAACCACTTCCCTCAGAATTCTGCTTGAATGCCATTTCTATCTTTCTCAAGTCCAATCAGCCAAAAACAACCCTGTGCCTCACACCGCGAACTTCCTACGACTTTTTAATTTTTGGTTTCCTGCCAGCCTGTCCGCGCCGATTTTAAGGGATTCGTGCGCGATTTTCGGCGGTTCCCGAGATCTCCGGCAGGTGGCTTCAACAAATCTACAAGCAGTAAGCAGTGGCTTGCCTTTGATCGCACATTTAGACATTGGTTTTGGTTTTGCCCATCACGTCCTAAAAGACCAAGGGGTTCCCTATCTGCCGGGCACTTCTAGATGGTTCTAGATTCCTAATGGGTGGCCATCGTGCTTCTACGATGAAGGTCCGCTAACTTCGCGGCTTGGCATTCATGCCTCCCTCTCCTCAAGTTTGTTGTGAGCAACGGACAAGAGTATGAATGCTTGCGCAAACGCGCACGGGAACATTGGGGCGGTGCTCCCCCTAATTGTTGCGGCCACTTTGGGTCCCCTCATGTCCTGAACCAACAGTGGACGGAAGCAATTGGGCAAGGAGGAATGTTGACATCGTTGGGAACGGAGCGGATGTCCCTTTGCGCTTGCCTGGCGTGTTGATTGCTTCTTAAGGGGCGCCTTGGAGTGGTTGAGAGTCCCTAGACCCCTTCTGCGACTGGAGGTCTCAGCAGATCCTGCAGAACAAGGAGCACTTTGTGAAGCCGGGCGTCTCCGTGCTGGTGGACCAGGCCGGATCCATCCTCCATACGTGCCCCAGAAACACCCGTTTTGTGTTTTTCTCCGTTTTTTTTGTTGGTTTTTCATGCCAACAAACCGGTTTTGGAACTGCCATCAAAAACGAACTTCCACTTCTCAAAAACCTGAGGGGGGCCTGTTTTGCCTTGCGAAGGCCAGGAGAAGCGACAAATACGGCCCCCCAAACGGAGCCCTGGTTATCAGCAAGAGAGCCCTGGGTGCTATGCGGGCATGGCTTCGGGTTCCTCGGCTTTTCTACTGGAAGGTGCCACAGTTGGGGGGTTGAGTTTGGCCCCAACTGTGAGAGCATTGCAGGAGTGGCCATACCAACTGCAAACTTGTTTGTTCAGGGGTCATGTATATGTCTGCGTGTGGTTGTTTTTTTGAGGGTGCTCTTGCTGGGTGGATTAAAAGGGGAAGCGAAAGGAAACCACCCATTGTCGGGGGCCCTAGTTTTGAGACTCTGCCATGTACTCTGTACTATTAAAGGGAGATTAGAAGCCAACCGATGCCCCGTGCAATTTGGTTTGGACAGATAGGCCTTGTTCAACGTGTCGATACCCCCACAGCCAGAGGTTTGCACCCATCAGCCCTGGCCCATTGCCTTCCTTGTCAGGCCTTGGACAGGCCAGCCAAGGGCAACGGCGGCAAGCTCAGTTTGTCCTAGACCTCCAGTGGGTTACTTGTTTTGCTTCTAATTTTGTGTACGGGGTTTCCCTTCTGACATCAACAACTACCAAGACAAGAGCGCCCTGTTTTGCCCATGGCTGGGGGTGGTGAAGAACCTTTTCGGTCAAAGCTCACCGATCCGGGGGGAAAGCAGGCCTCAACCCAGTTGCCCTGTGGTGCCCTTCCTTTTCGGGGTTTCCCGACCCAAGCAAGAGAAAACCAGTGCCCCTTTTTGGCCATGGCCACCGGGCTGAGTTCAGTGAGTCGACCTTTCGGCCGGAAAAAGAATTGCCTGTGGCGACCTCCAGTGGTTGGCCTGTTTTGGAAGACTCTCTTTGGCTCTTCAGCCAAAGTCGACCTTTGGTTTTCAGATTGTTTTAGAGGCAGATTGGCAACGTGGACAGGTTTTCAGCCCCACCAGGTTTTCAGCCCAACCAGGTTTTCAGATTCCCGCCCGGAACGTTTGCCGCGTTTGGACTTCCCGTATTTGAGGCTAACCAAACAAGAGATGTCAAAAGTTTCAAGGCTGGTCGGAAGTCTTGGGACTGGTTTGCAGCGTTGGGTCAGTCGAGGTCTTTGAACCCCCAGCACGCGTGGCTTTCAAGCGAAGCATTGGGAAACCAAAAGGAAGCTGAACGCGTTGCGGCTGGTGGGCCATTGAAGTGGGCCCATTTGGTTCTGCGTTGGGTGGATTTTGCCACGTTTGCGGGGAGAACTGAAAGGCAACAGAGTTGGCTCCTGCAAAACACGAACACCATGGGGGTCCAATTCCCAAGAGAGAAATCCCTTGATTGTTGGGTTCCGAAAGGAAACATCCTCAAAACCGAGTGTTTGGGGTCTGATTTATCTGAAAAATCGCCAATTGAAAGCGTTTCACTCAAACACGTCTTTGGCATCGGAAGGCCAAGTCCGTTGATGCAAACACGGCCCATTTGTTTGGACCGGCATGAGTCTTTCAAGGTGCTTCCCAGCTAGACCTGTAGATGTTAAGATGTTTTGAAAGTTTGGCAAGTTAGAACGTTCACAAGCTCGGCATGTAAAGTTGATGTCTTTAAGTTTGCCCTTGCACCTCTTTTTCGGGGTCCATGTAAGTTTCAACAGAATAAGCTCTTGTTTGGGGACATCATACCCGTGGCTCGCGACCCTTCGAACCCAAAGAGAAGCCACCCTGCGATGAACCCATATTCAAGCCTCCAAGATACTGGGCCGATGCTTTTGTTGACAAGCAAAACCAGCAAAACCACCGGAAAGCTGATTGAAGGATATATTGCTTGAGGACAGTTTGTTCCGATTCGAAAGGATCCAGGCGGCTGGGGCCTGTGCAAATTTTGTCGACCCGACCCCAAAACGGTTGAGTCCCGTAGGTTTCCCTTGGACATCCAAAAAGGGCCTCAAAAGACAGAGTGATTCTTTTTTGGGGGGGCGTGTTGGGGGTTTGGGGGCTTGGGGGTTCCGGGGGTTGGATGCCCAAGGCGAGGGCAAGGGAGGCCGGGGCGCGCCGGTGCAAAATCTGCAAATGGTCCGGAGGCCTAGAGGTCAGCGTGGACTGCGGTGGATGAAACCCTGTGAATTCTGAACCACACACACCAGCGGGTGACATGGGATGTATTGCTTTTTTTGGCTTGTTTTTGCGGTGGTATCCTTTTTTGGGTGGGTTTGGAGGGAAGCCAAGAAGGGCATCACCATCTTTGGCAGTCCCCAATTTGAAGACACACTTACATGTGACCTGCATATTCACAGAGGGCAGCCAAAAAGCGGGCAGCGGGATACAAACGAGGGTTGCTCTAACAACAGTGCATGGTCTTGCTTTGGACCTTTGATCACAAGCAAATCCATGTTTTAATGGTTAGACCAGTGGGTATCTATCCGGTGGGTGTATCAGGGCGTGATTCCCCGAGGGATTCCCTTACCCCCGGAAAGGCAAGAACCCCTGTCCACTTCTATGGTGGGTAGAACCCAGGTGCTCTGCAAATTGACATCACAAGGAACCCAACAACGGGCTCCAACCAAGGACGTGTTTTTTTGTTAAGACGAGTGTTGTTTGGCCGTCCATCTCACTCTTTGCCAATACCTCAGACCAGGTGTTGGCCGGGCTCAACGTTTGGGACGTCTTTTGGCTGGGTCGATCTTCGCGTGGGTTTGAGGCCAGGATCCATTGATCGGGGTTCACGGGGGTTGATCCTGGGGCTAAACGTGGTGTTTCCCCCGGCTCGTGGAGTCTGATATTCCGAATTGGACTTAGCTGCTTTAATTGGGGGCTGCATGGAAATCTGAAGAGATCCAAGGGGAACGCTGTGGGTAACAGCCACTTCTTTTTGCTTCACTTCACCCAAAAAGTTGGCCACCTCCACTTGACCTGCACTCGCTGAGTCTAGTCACGGTCCCAACGCCTGTTTTTCGCTGCCGCGGGGTTCAAGCCCTGACCGACTCTGGCTTCGCGCCGGGATTCCAATAAAAGCAATGAAGCTCTACGTGTTTTCGTTGGTGGCGGCCTTTGGAGCCAAGCTCAAGGCGACGTTTGGAAACTGGAGCTGGCGTTCAGCTCCTTTTTCTTGGTCGGCTCTCATTCCATTGAACTGGGCCGGTCGATTGGGGTCATTCCGTCACTGGTCATGGGGAGTTTGGCTCGGGGAACGTTCGGGCTGATCCCAGAGCCGAGAAACCAAACCGCAATGTCAGTCCATTGTCAAAGCTAGAGCAGGGCCTCGAAACAGGCCCCATGACCCTCCCATGAGCCCACCAGATACCTTGAAGAAGCTGAAGAAGAAGAGGCTCCGCCTCGATTTTAGTTTTCGAATGAGTCCCCTTCAAATTGAATGGCAACGACTTTACAGTTTGGCGGCTTTGGTGCATCCGAACTGAGCTCTTTGTGAAATCTATTGAATTGTCAATCCTTCTCAATGACTACTTCTACAAGTATTTTGCACAACCCTATTCCCAGAAGTCCAAGAAATGTCATTCCTGCAGATTGTTGGGATCCTTTTTGTTGTAACACCACATTCCTGGTCACTAAGAGGCCTATCTACAATGCTGCTAATCATGCTGGGTTGAACGGCCCGCCTCCATCACAAAGGAGTCGAGATTAGGGACCGCTCGGTTCGAAGCTGGACAAACCTGCATCCGTCAAAATGGCCTTGGGTTGGTCGATAGCCTTTCGTTTGTCCAATTAAGATGGTCCCCCCCACCGTCCCCACCGAACCTCTGCAGCCCGAGCCTGTAAAGGTCTTTAACGGTGTTCTTAACCCGGGTCATCCTCAAGGGCGATCAAAGACCCCAAGATCCTAAGTAGTTGTCGACCCCAAAGACCTAAAAAGAGGTCTTGAAAAAGAGGAGCCCATTTTCTTGAGGGGGGTTGGGTGTGTATTGTTGTTGAGGGTACCCTTTTTATGTGTTTTCTATCGTACCGGTCTTGCTTCGGGATTTGGAGGGTTCCCTTTGCCTCGGTCAGGCTGACGTGGCATGCAAAGGCAGCAAGGTGGCTGCCTGGACCTGCGATGACGTCACCAACAACTGCGACCAGCACTACTACGCCACGGACACATGGCGCAGTTGTTGAGTTGGCCCGTTGCAACCCGTTGGTTGCTCTACGTCCTTCAGGAAGCAAAACGTTTGTTTTAAGCCAGGGCTTCAATCTACATAAAGAAGGATGTACTTTCGAGGTCCCATGGAGAGTTCTAGCTGGAACGCTGCATGTGGGATCAAAATGGCATCAATGCTGTTTGGGTTGCCTTCCCTAGATATGTTTGCCAGAGGAGAACCTAAGGCTCATTGTCAAGTCGATTTGCTCTGCTTACAAGTGAGCCATGTGTCAAGCAAGGGTTCTCCATCCGGTTGCCCAAGGGCAAAAAAGAAAAAGGGTACCAGAAAGTTCCCTTTGCCTTTTCCTGCGAGCGCAGAATGCTGCGAATTTTTCAGGGCCGACTTTTTGCAGGTGTCTAAAGAACAAACTCATACTGTTGTTTGATTATACAGTTATACACAGTTCCCTGAATAGAACTTTTGGCATGTGGGCAAAGAGGAAGTAATTTGTCAATTGCTTGGAAAGCATCAGAGGATGCTGGTGTCAATGTGCAGTGCGGAAAAACGACCAACGGCCAGTGCCTTTCAATGGGGCCAATCTGCACGGAGACCACGGGGGGCTTGCCGTCATCGCCGGCGAAGAACTCGTGGGCTCCGCAGAAGGCGGGGGCCAAGTTGAGCTTCGAGGGCGTTTCAACCGCCTGGCAGAAAGTCAAAGATGGGGACGAGATGACGTGGGAGGTGATGTGGCAAAGTAAGGGCTCGCCCAACATGGACCACTCCTTCATCATGGGCTCAAATGCTTGCGGCTCGATGGAAGCTGGTATTGGCATCACGGTGCGGAGCACTGGTGAGCTTGGCGGATGCTCCATTGTGGGAGGCACCTGGGATAACTACGTCGGCTTGGCGCCCAATGTCGATATGAAGGTGTTGGACGGCAAGTGGCACCACATCGTCGTAGTTTTCAGCAGATCGCAGAAGACTCTGAAACTCTACCTAGATGGGGCCGTCGCCTATGACAAAACGGTCATCAAGACCACCAACACCGACGGGGACCTCGGCAGTGACTTTGCTTTCGGGCCCGGCAGGCGAACGTACAACGGCAAGGCCTACGAGCACGACTCCAGGCCACCCGAAAGCACGCACGATGCCGCCTTCACTCACATGCTCAGAAAAAAAAAGGTTTTCTCACGGCGCAGTTTCACAATGTCTATTCCAATAGCACCCCAAAATTCCTGATTTGCCGTTCCATCGTTCTTTCTACTGACAAGACCCCCCAACTTTCCGTTTGGGAGCGCTCAGGTTTGCACGGATTGCTCTTTGGAGCCGTGCGCTCTCCGGCGATGAGATCAAGAATTGCAAAGACAAATGCCCCACGTCGGACGGGTTGGTCGCGCTTTACACCATGGACAACACCTACGACGATGCGCAGGGCAAGTATGCCGCCTTGACCAATCACGATGGCGCTTTCTCAAGCGACATCTACACCACTACTGACATGTGCTTGTGGGCTGGCTCGTCTTCCTCGACAGGCGGCTTGCCGTCATCGCCGGCGAAGAACTCGTGGGCTCCGCAGAAGGCGGGGGCCAAGTTGAGCTTTGAGGGCGTTTCAACCGCCTGGCAGAAAGTCAAAGATGGGGACGAGATGACGTGGGAGGTGATGTGGCAAAGTAAGGGCTCGCCCAACATGGACCACTCCTTCATCATGGGCTCAAATGCTTGCGGCTCGATGGAAGCTGGTATTGGCATCACGGTGCGGAGCACTGGTGAGCTTGGCGGATGCTCCATCGTGGGAGGCACCGGGGCTAACTACGTCGGCTTGGCGCCCAATGTCGATATGAAGGTGCTGGACGGCAAGTGGCACCACATCGTCGTAGTTTTCAGCAGATCGCAGAAGACTCTGAAACTCTACCTAGATGGGGCCGTCGCCTATGACAAAACGGTCATCAAGACCACCAACACCGACGGGGACCTCGGCAGTGACTTTGCTTTCGGGCCCGGCAGGCGAACGTACAACGGCAAAGCCTACGAGCACGACTCCAGGCCACCCGAAAGCACGCACGATGCCGCCTTCACTCACATGCTCAGAAAAAAAAATAAGGTTTTCTCACGGCGCAATTTCACAATGTCTATTCCAACAGCACCCCGAAATTCCTGATTTGCCGTTCCATCGTTCTATCTACTGACAAGACCCCCCAACTTTCCGTTTGGGAGCGCTCAGGTTTGCACGGATTGCTCTTTGGAGCCGTGCGCTCTCCGGCGATGAGATCAAGAATTGCAAAGACGAATGCCCCACGTCGGACGGGTTGGTCGCGCTTTACACCATGGACAACACCTACGACGATGCGCAGGGCAAGTATGCCGCCTTGACCAATCACGATGGCGCTTTCTCAAGCGACATCTACACCACTACTGACATGTGCTTGTGGGCTGGCTCGTCTTCCTCGACAGGCGGCTTGCCGTCATCGCCGGCGAAGAACTCGTGGGCTCCGCAGAAGGCGGGGGCCAAGTTGAGCTTTGAGGGCGTTTCAACCGCCTGGCAGAAAGTCAAAGATGGGGACGAGATGACGTGGGAGGTGATGTGGCAAAGTAAGGGCTCGCCCAACATGGACCACTCCTTCATCATGGGCTCAAATGCTTGCGGCTCGATGGAAGCTGGTATTGGCATCACGGTGCGGAGCACTGGTGAGCTTGGCGGATGCTCCATCGTGGGAGGCACCGGGGCTAACTACGTCGGCTTGGCGCCCAATGTCGATATGAAGGTGCTGGACGGCAAGTGGCACCACATCGTCGTAGTTTTCAGCAGATCGCAGAAGACTCTGAAACTCTACCTAGATGGGGCCGTCGCCTATGACAAAACGGTCATCAAGACAACCAACACCGACGGGGACCTCGGCAGTGACTTTGCTTTCGGGCCCGGCAGGCGAACGTACAACGGCAAAGCCTACGAGCACGACTCCAGGCCACCCGAAAGCACGCACGATGCCGCCTTCACTCACATGCTCAAAAAAAAAATGTTTTCTCACGGCGCAATTTCACAATGTCTATTCCAACAGCACCCCGAAATTCCTGATTTGCCGTTCCATCGTTCTATCTACTGACAAGACCCCCCAACTTTCCGGTTGGGAGCGCTCAGGTTTGCACGGATTGCTCTTTGGAGCCGTGCGCTCTCCGGCGATGAGATCAAGAATTGCAAAGACAAATGCCCCACGTCGGACGGGTTGGTCGCGCTTTACACCATGGACAACACCTACGACGATGCGCAGGGCAAGTATGCCGCCTTGACCAATCACGATGGCGCTTTCTCAAGCGACATCTACACCACTACTGACATGTGCTTGTGGAAATGATGGATCGAGTCGACTTTTTTGCTTCGAATTGCCTTGACGACCCAAGTGCGTGCAGCACTCTCCGTCTTCAAGTTGCGGATGCCAGGCATGTCGTGGATGACCTTGGGCACTTGCATGGACTGACTTGCGCTTTTGTAGTCTTCAGAGCCTTTGAACACTCCCTTGTCACATGGGCACACTCGCACGCGGCGGGACCTAAAGAAGCCGGATTTTCCGTTGAGAAAAGGAGTCGACATTTGCATTTCTCTGAGAAGATGTGAGCGCCAAAAGCCACTTTGGGCCATTCTTGTAGGTGAGTGCTCCACCTTGACCAAAGGTCGACACGGGTTGTGGGGTTCTGCTTCTCGGATGCAGTTTCAAAAGGAGGTCACCTGATATTTCTGAGGTGGTTGTTGCCAAGGAGGAGTAGTTCTGGTTGCTGCTCGCTCTGCGCTACATGTCCTCTCTGCGGGCAGTTGTTTTTCCAATGTCCAAACAATACTTGGGCCCATTCCCATCAGGTAGAAGCCTCTTGTCTTGAGTGTCTGACCCAAGCCCAGTGGGTTTGAAACCAGCTATGCAAGGCGTTCCTCAAAAATATGCGTGTTGCGAGCTAACAGTATGCCCTTTTGGCAAACTTGTTCACCCTCACCTGGGCAAAAAGGTGAGTCTCTTTCTGGGACAATGTTTAAGGTGGAACGGGGACAGTGAAGCGTGTTCTTGCCCTGTGATCCGGACTCCCTCAGATTTGGTGCGTCCACTCAGCACCAAGAGAATTGCCACGGAAGTTGCAAGTCATGCAAAGCTGACCTCTTGCCCATAATGTGTTCTTGCCCATGGCCATGTTCCGTCGAATATGTTTCATTGTAAATCGTAAATCTACCTCTTAGGGGTTGTAGAGTTTGAAGCGTGGAAGTTGCTAATATAAGGCACGCCTCCAAAAATGGCGCTGCTGTTGTTTTGGCTGAGAATGAACAAAGATTGCCCTTCTGTTATTCGATTTATTCTATTTGTCGACCCATCCGTGTGGCTTTTCATGCACCCATGAGACTATTCCAACCGCTCATATTCTGCCCACCTGTTAGCGACGCAGATGCAGCCAGTCGCCTTCCCAGGAGCTGAGGGGAAAAATGGACGTGGTTCTTTACGGAAGAAGACGTGAGAATCGCAAGCCGGACTCCTGAAAGGTCTTTGGGGAGCACTGAAAACCCGGGGAATTCCGCTGAGTCCCCGATTGTTGTTGCTTTACAAGGTTTTAACTAGTCTGGCCTCAAAAAGTGGTCATCTTCCAGCTCTTCCATGCAAGTTCGTCTCGTTTTTCAGATCGGAGCAGACACACATGGACATGGTGTGCCATGGTCAAGGCGACAGAACACAAGCGTGCCGAGCCCGAGGACTACTCGAGTAGCTCAGCACTTTCCAAATACGCGGAATTTCCGCCTTCCCAGGTAGGGGGAGCCGTTCAGCGCCTGTCAGAGCCAGAAGACAGGGTATGATGACTCGAGTCCATAGAGCCAAAACAAGTCTCAGTGGAATATGAGACCCCCGTATGCGCTGGGGAGAGCAGCGTTCCTTTGGAGGGACCCCAAATTGAAAGCATGAAGTCGTGTTTTGGGACAATTGAGAGCGGGGAATTGGAGGCTCGAAGTCTGCAGGAGCCTTTGGCATGATGGATCCAGCGTTTCAAGGACTCTACCAACAGCAGGCGGGACAGACTCATGAGTCTGAAGACGCCGGGGGAGAGACAAAGAACCATGGGCTGGTTTGATTCATGTCAAGAGGCGCTGCTTGCACACCGCATGTTGGTCTAGATGCCCCAACCAAAAGCGGGTGGAACAACCTTTCCAACAATTGCCAGTTGATCAACTATTCATAATTCAGAAAGTATGTCACAGGCAGTTAGCTCGCGTTCCGAGCTTCACTCTTTTGTATTCAAACACTTTCAGGTGCCGTTCAGCAGGCGAAAGGCACACTCCCATGGGCCTACTCGTTTCTGCGAGGCTGCTGGGTGCCAGTCTCAGAAATCCGCCCCGAGAGAGAGAAAGAGATTGCAGCCCTCAGATCCTAGGAGCCTAAGACCTGAGTCTTTATTTATGGCTGTCAGCCTCTTGGGGAAGTATTTACTTGTTTTTTTTTTTAATTTCCACTGATAGTCCCATCCTCATCGTGTGACTGTTCTTGGGTCCTGTCTGCAGAAACCCTCCTTGTTCAAACATCAACTCATGTGGATGTCGGAGGGTTTGGGCAAGGGTCTGGTGTTCCCACAAAAAATGTTTAGAGAATCTAAGATGTCATTGACCTATCCTTGGAGCTGGTTCCCGCCATCAACTAGCGGACTTGCATGTAAAGTCTTCCTTTTTCCCAATCCGAGTGTCATGGGCGAGGCAGATGCATCTGGGCAAGTAGAAGCGGGCAAGGGAAGTAGCTCGGGACCGGTTTCGCCAATCGTTTCTTGCAGTCGACAAATCGCAAGTTCGCGCAGCCTAGTTACACCCGTGGCTTGCTCTACTGGAGACTTCTCTTTTTTATTTATTTTTTTGGGGGGCTGCTCTGCTTTACCCCAATGTTTGTCCTTCCACAGTGTTGATGCTTTGACATTGTGATGGCCAAGGATGATGCGGTTCAATCCCTACTGAGATCTCCCGCGTGTGTTCAGAAAAAAGGAACATAAAATGAAAGGGATGTTCATTTATGATCATTTTCAACCCTTCAGATGAATCTTTTGAGGGGTCTGTGACAGTGTCGCGGCGGACATTGGCTGCACACCCCGTTGCATACCCCATGGCTCGTTACACACTTCCCAGTACATACCTTCGTTACACACCTTACAATCCAGCTGCGCGTGTGTCTTCGAGCTCGAAGAGCGAAGGCAACCAAACCCTACCTGTAGCGTATACCGTGTTTTTTTGCACCAGAAGCTCCTTGCATCACCCGGACGCACGCCAGCCCAGACATGTGGACCCCAACACATCCCCGACATCCCTGGCCTTGCGACGGGCTCCTGATGCCATGTTGCAACATGTTGCAACATGTTGTAACCTTCAAAAAACACAGTAAATATCGTGCAAATCGCCCCCCGACAGTCGCGAGCATCCCCAGCATTCCTGCAACACCAGCATCCTTGCATTCCCCGGCATACGCCGCAAGAAAGAATCCTTTTGCTGCGCGCTACACCTCGTTCTGTAGCCGTTGCAGACCCACGTGCTGAGAAGCCCTCCCGACAAAATCCATATTATACTACACCCCAAGAATTGAGCCCGACTTACAAAACAAACATATTTCATGAATAATTATTATTGACAAATAAACATAATTATATAAATATAATAATATTATTGAAAAAAATAATTCAAATATATTTTGAATTATATAGAAACACATATATAAAATAGAAATATTAAATTGATTGATAAAAATATAGAATATTTGAAAATATAATATATATATTTATATGGTTTATAATATAAATAATTTATATATTTATTTTAAATTATAAATTGAATATATTAAATATATTTATATTTCTAATTCAAAAAATCAAAAAAATCTAATATAAATTTAATATGTAAATTTAAAAATATATTATTAAATATATAATTCTATATTTAGGAATTTGATTTAAGATTATATTGGAGTTGTGGAAGTGTATTTTATATGTTAGATCTATAGATGTATATTTTAAATATTTTCATTTTCGAGTTGGAATTATAATATTTTATATATTAAATATATATATATATATAGAAAATTATGTTTTTAATTTGGAATTATAGAAACATATTTCGTGTGTTAGATTTGTATTATAAAGTCGTGATTTTCGAGTTGGAGTTGTAAAGTTGTGATTTTGTTGGAGTTATAGAAATGAATTTTATGGTCTAAGGTAAAATTAAAAATATTATATGTATTCCTTCGATTTTGTGAAATGATTATGGGTTGGCGAGGTTTTAACACTTGATTAACTAGTTTTAGGTCGGTGTTACTCACAACATATTATTTTAAAATATTAATATTTATATTAATATATATATAAGTATATTTTTTTTTCCTTATCCAATGAAATAATATTGAAACCCATTTCATAAGAAAATGATAAATTTATTTGATAATATAATATGTAATGATTATTTAAGGATATATATAATTTGTTGTTGATGGAATAATTGATGAATGAATTAATATATTAATAAATAGATTATAGGATGGAAGATATGTATATGTTTATGAAATAGTGCTTAAATTAATTATTTTAATTATTATATTTGATATTTAATAATGATTTATTTTAAATAATTATTTAGATAATTAATTTATATTGAATATATTTAAATATTTATATTATTAGTTTAATGATTTTTCTATATTGAATTTGAATTATATTTTTGGATTTCGGTTATTTTCGTTTATAAATTTTAGTATTTTTGTTGTTTTGTGTTCATTTTGGCGATTTATATATATATATGTATATATATTGTTGGAAATCGTTATATTTTGCAAATTTAATAATTCGGGGGGAATTATGATTTTAAGGAATATTTTTTTTCTATTGGAGTTTCTTTATATTTAATGCGGGACTAATAATAATTTGTAGTTTGTCCGAATCATTAATTTATTTGGTTTTTAAACCGACTAATTAGAAATGAATAAATGCTAAGGAAGGACTAGAAAGAAATGAATCTTAGTTAAATTTATCTTGGCTTGAGGGACGGGTTCCGTGCCGAGTAAGTGAGATTTTGTTTTTTGGGCATAAAATTCGAGAGTATAAAAATAGATTATAAAATAGAATTTATTTGATAGTAAGAGTAAAATATTATTGTTATTTGTTTGTTATTTTTTTATTTTTATTTTTTTTGTATTTTTTTTTTTATATATTAAATTCATGTTTTTTGCCCGTAATTTATCCACTATTTTCGAAAATATTACGAAGGGGTTTTCCGGGCAATACAAAAATACTAATTATATAAATATAATTATTTTAAATAAATTATACTAATGAATAATATCGGAGATCGTTACAGCAAATTACATAAGAACGATACACTAGAGGATTACAGCAAGTTGCGCTAACGAGTTATATGAAAGATTGATTGAGCGATATATATATATATAAATGGGATATATATTTACAGCAAACTACATAAAAATGATACACTAGAGGATTACAGCAAGTTGCGCTAACGAGTTATATGAAAGATTGATTGAGCGAGTTATATATATAAATGGGATATATTTATATATATATTTATGAATTAG